TTTCACGACATTCACGAATGTTGTTCGTGGCAATTGAGTGAGAAAATATTCTTTATTAAGTTTTGATAAGATTTTTCCTTTGTTAAAGTGGGAACCTAATTATGAAGCTATTTTAAATTAACTTTTAATTAAAAAATTTTATTTTATGTATTTTAAGAAGTGAATTGTAATTATATTTAAATTTTTATTTCGAAGACTTCCAATTAGTTATAACAGAGTTATTTCGGAGAGTTAGTTATAGACATAAGATTTATCGTAGAAAATAGAAAAAAATATGGAAAGGATGATATAATTAATGAAATTTTTATTAAGAGAAAATAATTTTTGGTTTAAAAATATTAATAAAAAATATCGTTATTCTCTATTTAATATCTCTTAATAAGTACATTTAATCTCAAATTCTCTTAATAGGTACATTTCATTACATAAGTACAAGACATTACACTGAATAGGTACATTTCATTACATAAGTACAAGACATTACACTGAAAAAAAGTCGGGAGTCAATGATTTTGTTATGATGTTTAATGCAATCTTCTTTAAGAATGATATTTCTTTGTTTGTTATTTATTATTTGTTGTGTCACGTTCATACAAATAATTTATTAATTTTCGTTCACAATTATATTGTAATTAAAAAATCGACAAATAGTTAAAAAGTAGTTTTAGGCTCAATATATAAAAAATAAGAGTATTATCTTATATTGTAATTGTTATATTAAGTTTGTTATAATTATATAATTATAATTAAATAACAAATATTAAATAATTGAATAGAAAATCGTTCGAATTATCGGACAGAAAACATTTGATGAAAAGAAACAATTTTTGAATTTTGAGATTATTTGAAATTCATTAGGATGCAAAGCCTGGAACTATGAAACATTTATTCATTAATTACTAAATTATGCGATGTAGACTTATTCCTCGATGTTGCAACGTATAATTGTCCTTAGGACTATTATTACGGGACAATCCGTCGAAGGGAAATCTGTCTCCCGTGATACATTATTAAGTTTGTTTAATTCCGTTATTATAATTAATCGTCTGAAATAAGTATGCTATTATTCGTGCTGGATACAATGATTCAGCATCACGCAATTAAGTTAATTTAACATACATTGTTTTGCTCTTGTTTCCGCAGATCTTTCATAACATGTAGCAATCGAACATGTAATATAGAACTCCATTTTAATTACTCGTGAATAATTTTCTTTTTTAATCCATTATAATTTGTCTTAATTATATATATTATATTTATTTTTAATTAATATATAATATTTCCTTATAGATTTGTTGATTCGAGATTATTTTATAGATTATTTTAATAGATTATTTTATATCGAGATTCGAAATTTCAACTTTTGAAATATTTATGTAAAAATATTAGATGTTATAATTTTTACGATGTTATAATTTTTCGTCGAGAGAGGAATGTTGTTATCCTTGTTATCCGTGAGAAACAGGAATACATTCTCGTCAGATTTACGTAACAATGTGTAATTGTTATCTTGTGGTTTCGTGCGTTGAATTTTTCGCATTTATACCTGATTGACCCTGGGTGGTCGAAGACCTCAAAGGACGCATAGACCGGTAACATTAGGTGAGACCCGTGAAATGAGTTTGCTTGATTGGAGCGACATTTCTTGCTTGGACTTTCGAGTCGCTTGAATAGATACGCGATTAATAGATATCCTCCTAAAATTTTCCTATTAATACTTTCATGATGCGGAATTTAAGTTTGAAAAGAAATATTATTATAAATATGTATAATCTGAGTATATTCATTTTTAATATTAATTTTTATTCGGAATAAATTCAAACTTTGTTTATAATTGCATTCCCTTACGCCGCTCTTTAATTTTCGCATTTATCGTAACAACCGAGTGTTACTGGACGACTATTACAGAAGTGTTACGCAAATGTTGCGCAAAGGATGCACAGCGGTCATTATCCGGCGACAAAAGTGCCGCGCCTTCCTCGGCATTATTCTTCGCGTTGCGAGGAATACGAGGAGGAATGAGAGGCGCTCGATTATTATTCCGTTCGCGGAAAAGAGAAAATTGCAGATGAGTTGCCTGCGATCTCTCAGGCGACGTGTTTATCGGACTATTAGTCTCAGATACAGGCGAATTCATTCTCATGCGAACACATCTTTCGACAACGCTGACACCAGCGGGAACAACGCCATTGTCATTAGCGTGAAAGTCGATTCTTCGTTTAATCGCGGATCTGTCACTCGATTCGCTTTCAAGGAAAGTATTCTCTATTGAGATATCGGATTGTATTTATCATGTAGACAATTGCGGACAAAACACGGGATGTTTAGAAAGTTCGAGGACCAGTGCCTTATCGCGAAAACTTCCTAAGAATTTCTCTCATCATTCTAAAAATTCATGCATACTTTTAGTCTTGTTAAGATATAAATGTGTAGAATTGATTAGTTAAAATTGTGAATAATCGAAAACAGTGATATTCTTTTTTTTTGTATGAAATTTCTGTAAGTTTTAAGTGGAGATAATTATTTAAAAAATTTAAAAATTTAAATTATTTAAAAAATGAAAAATATAATTATCTTATATAGAAGAAATTGCTTGTCTCCGTTAAATTGTTCTAAAGTTAGAATATTTTTTGTTAGAAACGACAACACATCGTGTCGTTTTATGTAATTATTCCTCACGGTCGTGAATTTACTTTCACGCTTAGTTGCTGATAAAGAATGTGAAAAATCTCAGCGTAGTACTGCTGAGTTACGTGGCCGGATTTAATTAAATCATGTATGTATTAGAATAAACGTATTCTTTTTTTGTATTACATATTAGATCCGGCTCTAAATTAATTATAAAAAAAATTCATGGGCATATCATTCAAGTGCACTAAGACTTTGTTAATCAATTATAATTAATTGTGTGTTTATAAAATATGGAATTTTAATTAGATTTGTCTAATAATTCATATCATAAATAATTATTCATATTATAAATAATTATTCATATTATAAATATATTATAAATCTCTCTCGCGCTACCAATATAAAATTGGATGAATATGGAAAAAGATGTTTGTTATATTTTTTCTTTGTGAAACATTTTTCGCGATGTTTTAAATACGTTTTCGCACGTAGATATATTTCTTCGCAATCTTCGTTGCGCGTATATATGTTAGAAATCAGGTTCTTCCAGCGTTCGTTCTGTCTGTCAGTCGACGATCCATGCAATAAACGAGGAGAATAGTCTGCGATTTTTTTCTCGTCCGAGAATCTCGAACTTGCTCCCGCTGAGACGCGTTCTGTCAGTCTCACAAAAAATACGGTAGCGCGCGAAACATCAGTATGACAACTAGTTCTCAGGATCGCGAGAGAGAAGAAAATGCAATGATGAGTAAAGCGTAAGGAGAGAAAATAAGAGAGAGAATTCCATGGCGCAGTGGCACGCACGTGAATGCACTTGTCGGCCGCACACACGCATATAAGAACGGTGAACCTGTTGCATCCCGGACGTGTTCGTAGAGCTACATTGCAGAATGCACTTCGACTTACATGCCATCGCTCGATGCACATATGTTCCTAAATGTCCGGCAATCCTCACGGAATTAAATGCAATTACATGATCGAAACATACGAGCGAGTTTGAAAAGGGAAACCGTAAAATAAATTTTACAGTGAAAAAAAATGCTTGACTTTAGATTTCTGCGGATCAATGTAAGACTTACAGCTTAAAGAGATTTGTGATGAATATTATAATTCATGCCCTTCTGTACTAAAATTTATTTGATTAAATAATACTGTTTTTTGTTCGATAATTAACTTGTAACAAAAATTTGCATTTTTCGATAGATTCTTTTCCAAATTTCTTTTAATATTATTACATGAAAGTTGTAAGAGATTTAAGAACTAGTCTTGGGGAAAAAGCTTTAATTCTCCCTGGGAACGTAATCTGCGGAGGCAGGATTTCTCTAAGATACGATCCGACATTGACGGCATCGCTGGAATTTGCATGATTAGTAAGTGATGCGCCAGGCTGCTGACGAAGGATGCACCTGGTATTCGGTGTGTTGCTCACGCGAATGTATCATCAGCGAAGGGTTTCTCGCAACAGCCGTGGGCACTTTCCCAATAAGAAACACGATGTTCTCCAGAATATAACCATAAATATGCATTTTGCGCGCATTAAAGTTTCCTTCAAGAATTAAAAATAATTCTCTATTCGAAGTTTGAATAGAGAATATTGCATCGAAAAGGAATAATTGCATCAGCTTTCTATAAAAAATATATCAGATACATAAGTTATAATAATTAAGTGATTTAAATTACTTCATAACACAACATTCATGTTACATGTTCAGTTTATAAGCGAATATTTCGAAGCACATCGATCTCGATTGAAGATCAATCAAAAATTCGATCGTAACCATCACGCTCCTTTCCATATAATCGGTCCAATTACACGACACAATTTCCTGGCCGGACAAAGAATATACCGTGGGCAACGAGGCAACGCATTAGATAATGCATGCATTATGCAGGCGGCGGGCAAAAGCGACCGCGAGAACCGCAATGGCTATTAAAGCCCGATCGAAAAAGAACGCACATCGGCGCGCTTCGCATCAGGCTGGCGAGCGGGAAAAAAAGAATGTGAAATCCAGATCGAGGAGCGCGTTATCACCCTCAGATTGCCCCTTTCCTCTCCCCCTTTCCTCTCCGGTAATAAGAGGAACGTCAGACTGGCGTAATGGCTTGTGAGTGAGCGTGCCACGGCATCATAAATTCACGACGCGCATTTCCCGCGTAACGTTAAGTAGCGACTTCATCCGGTGGTCAGTACTTGCTCGGTCGATCCTGGGTAAGGACACGCCGCTCGCGTTCGGCTAGCCGCGAAATCATTGTCCTTAACACACTAACACGATTTCTTTTCGCGGAGATGTATGCTCGACGATGACGATACACGTATGATTATACCTATGAGTCGCCTCGCTCTAATTAAAGCTCTCTTTCTTTTATAGGTACGTTGACCAAGTGTTGCTGCGCGCAGCGTCGTCGGAAGCGTGAGAAGATCGAGGATCGCCGGAAGTATGGTATGATGCGTTCAGCATTTTTCACGAGTACGAGACATTCAAGTCTGTCGCTTAGATTCATTGGCGATTTTAATCGTCCTGATTCTTATTGCGACAAATAATTATTGAAGCATGTTTGGCAAGAAATTATGAATTTATTACGGCAACATGCAATATTGTTTTATGAATTATGAAAAGTTAAATAGCGTAAACTGCATAATGAGATCGTATCGAAAATGATTGTAAAAGAATTGTGTGATTCCTCTAGTCTCTATTATTCTTAATATTTTTATTAAATTAAATTTTTTTATCAGATTTTGATTTGAATGTCTTCAACATTGATGTTTTTAAAATTTGGATTGGAGCTAAGAAATAAGGTTTTTTAAAAAGTGTGACGTAGTATTATTATATAGTTTTTACTATTACAAAAACAAATTTCCTTTAAAAATTCTATAAATTGGCAGTTTGATTGACTTTTTTGCATCCATTATGCGTAATTGTTCTCATCTCTTCTGAGTCTCATTATCTTTTCTTCAGTTCTTTGATCGTTCTTCCGATTAACTGAATCATCGGAATTAATTCTTCGGATTTTAAAAGAAAGAAAAGTATTTCCATTTATTAATACCATTACAAATTTTATTATTCCACATATTTTTGCATGTTTAAAATTGCATATTACAATATTCTTTTCGATCATATTTCGAGGTAAATCGAGATTTCATAAATATATTTATTTGTTTTGTATTTAAATATATATAAAATACATTATTAAAATTTATTTTCGTAAAATAATAAAATGATAATTTTTTTTATTGCGAGATGAAAATAGATCGGCAATATTTTGAAAGCGTTTTTGACAATCAATCACGTGCAGGTTCGTTGTACAAGTCATTGCGACATATTCTTTTCCAGCGTTCGTTCTCAACATTATAGGAACTCGAATGAAGGCGCTATGAATTTATTTTTAAAGGATCGTCGATGTGTATGTGTTAACATCGCGATTAAGCGCTTCCTAATTAAGGATTTATTTACATTGTATTGTTACAAACACCAGTCGCATCCCGACGACTGATTTTTTTGCGCAATGACTCGCAGGTGAAAACGCGACGCGTTGGCCTTGCATCTGCGTTGCGACAGAATCTCGCGGTTGTCGACGCCATTTGTAACCGAATTATCTCATTATTTCATTAGGCAACGAGCTGCCTAAGCGTCGTGTTCATAATTAAGCGTCTCGTGACTTGGAGTGTCGCAAAAAGAGGTTCGTTTTCCGTTACCGCGAGGGTAGGCATTATCCTCTTCCTTTAATCGTCCAAGTTGATCTCTAATGACGAAGAATTTTCATCGACTACGCCCCTTTGGTTGTCTAGCGAGAAGAGTAACGATCGCTTGGGAAATCGCGCTATCATCATCGATGACGGATTATTTAACAACGATCCTCTCTTACAATCTCGTTAAACACGTATTAGGCTCTTAGATCTTTTATTAAATAAGCAGAACGCAAGGCCACAATTTGTAAGCATTATTGGAGAAATTTTACTCGTTGACGAAGTTAAATCAAAATACCGCAGAAAGATTCAAGACTTTATTGAAGCCGAGATATCGCGGTTAGTATAAAGTTCAAGTGTCAATTGCGATCGTTATAATCGCGCAAAACGAAGGAAAATTGCGCTCTGGATAGACATGTTAACGATTATTATATCATGTCCACCAATTTCTCCGGATGTTATTTTGGCGTGACACTCGTAAGATTACGCTAGTAACACGCGATTTCTCTGACCATTAAACTTCTTCGTGGCTTTCACCAGATTGCAGCTATCGCGCATTGCGCTGTCGCATCTGCATTTGATAGCGAGCTACATGCAACTGCTTCGCGCATCGAAAGCGCCGGAAACTTTCTTCTTCCGGGAGGAATGCCGCATGGCAGCATTTATCAAACTGAATTTGCATAAACGATATCGCGTGGCATATGTGAAGCGCGATACAGATATTTGACAGTTATTTTATTTTGCTCCGAAATATCGCAATAAAAAATTTGTGATTTTTTGACAAAAGAATTTTAAACAAAGAGACTTTATGGTGCAAATATAAACATAAAATTAATTGTAACGATAAAAGAAATTAAAGCAATTTCTTTTAAGATTCATTTTTTAGAACAAATAATCAATTTTATATAAAACATTCTGTTTTAAAGCTTACAATTAAAATGTTGAAAGCTATAATATTAAATCTATGGTTATATCTAATACATAAAAATATAAAAATTTCCACAGTAACAATTAAATAGAAATATTATTTATTTGATATACGCAATAATTTTTTCTAAATGTTCATGTTTTATTACATATATAAGGAATTATTTCTGTTTCGTAAAATTACAATGTGAGCTGAAACATACTTATGTTGTTAAGTTAAAACTGACGTAAGTAATATGTGTGTTTTTCTCTCGCGATGTAAGAACGGCTCATTTAGACTTTCACTGTTTATCGTAACCCGCATTACGTTGCCAATGATGGACGAGCGTGATGCACTTTTAGATGCAACAACCGGTGACAGGCCGGTGCAGTCCACTGCGTTTCGTCCTGCAGTGCTTGCCGGTTTAACGAACCGACCGAAGGCCGTGCATCGATTTTCGCGCGATCGGAATCTCGCAACCGCTTTCTTGTGTCTCTCATAATTTACTCATGTACGCATGACCAGCAATACAAAGCACTTTTAATCAAGTGCCGGCAAAATCAGTGAGCGAGATGAGGAGAGGATGAAGAACTCGAGGCGAACAAACAACGATTCGTACGTAAAGTGTTCATTTCTCCATTCTCTAAAATTTTATAGATTGATGATTAATGAGATGTAGAATATATAATTTATCAAGATATATTATATCATTAAGTTATATACATTAATAGACAGCAGAATATAAATTATATTATCAATATCTGAAATTAATGAGAAAAAAAATGATAAAAGAAAAGTGCAACATTTCTATTACAATGTATATTTAATGTACGCTTTCTCAAGTCCTTGTTTAATTCTTAATATCTCGCAAAGAGAAGGCAAACATTTTTATTTATTCGACTATATATTAAATATACACAGTAAAAAATAAAATGTTAATTTTAACATTTTTTTACATTTTGTCCCAGAAAGTCCACTCTAAATTTTAAGTTAAATAATTCATTCGTCGTATGTTACTTATTGACAAACTAAAAATGTTAAATAATTGACACAATACTTTACATTTATTTTTGTTATTGTGACTTTAAGTGTAATGTAAAAATAACATACAAATTAATTAAAAATTACATGAAAAAATAGTTACAATAATTCATAAGAATTGTTGTAGGACATTAACATAGTAATTATTTTAACTTAAATTATTTGTAATAGAAACATTTGATTTTAATAAATTTGATTATTTTGTATGTCAAAGTTCAAGATTATTTGAAGATTTACTTTAACTCTTAGAATGTTAAACTGACTTTGAGACATGTTGATAGTTTAAAATGATTATGTTAAAAATATTCAAAATAATATTCCATTTCTAAGAGACATATACAAAGTGTTAAATTATAAAGTTTACATAAATGTAACGCATGGAAATGTTATAAAAATAATAACATAGGTTGTATGTTAATTTTACATTCAAAAGTACTAATCAAAACGTGGTGGTAACACAAGAAAATTTTAACATATGGTCGCACAATTTTTTACTGTGTATAATGTGGCACTGAAATGGAACCGTCAAGCTGGACAAATTTGAGGCTCGAGTTGGCGGTGTCAAAAATATTACTGATGTACATCCGGATGGATGTGAAAGACTTGCTGCGTTCTCGATCGTGAGTCATGTATCGACAAATCGAACTCGACTTTCGCACGATCCGCATACACATGGCGCGGGTCTCCATTGAAGAGGGGAATTCTCGTGACTTACCCTTATGGCGCGCCATAGTCGGTGGACGGGCGGATTTCTCTGAAAAGTCGCCGATAAATGCAGATGTGCGCGGCCGACGAGAAAGCTAACACGCAAAAGCAATATACCCTCCTCTAGGTATGGCAAGAGCCATATGCCGCATTACCGCCGTAAGTGCAACTACCGGCCTATCGTATGCACTTGAAATTATTCGCGAAAACGAAAATAAACGAGAAGTAAATTGTTCAGTTGTCATAATCAAAATATAAATTTATATAATCGTCTTGGAGAAAGATGTCACATTTTTCTGAGTTACGATTAAATGCATACATTCCTGGTAGCTTACGAGGTAATAACTTTATTAGTTTATGTTACTAACGCAGAGATATTTATCATGAAAAAGTATAATTCATTTACATGTTTATTTTTATTAATTATTTATTAATTTAACTATAAATTTTTCTAATTTTTATACGAATTAATTTGTTTATAACTTTTTTTTTGAAATTGAAGAGAAATATTAAATGTGCGTGACTTTACTTTAGGTAGAAGTAAATAACTGAAATATTAGTAATAAAAATAATGTAAAAATGATATAAGCTCGATAAGTATCGCGTAATAAGACAATTGAATACAAATCAATGGATCTACCTGCTGGTGGTTACTCATCGGTTACGATGGATATCTTCGAATACTTGGATACCCGCCGCTTCTCACGGACATTGTTCATGCTCGTTTGCAGATAATAACAGCCGTTTAATTTCGCATCGCGGTTACTATCGAGGGTGATTCGACAGCATCGTCTATTGTATCGCTGACGACCCATCGATCACGACGAGATTCAATCTCTCGGTATCTGGAATTACTCGCAAATAGATTGTCTATTGCTAGGGATTTTTTTTACATGAATCTCTGCATTGCCTTGATGTCAAACGTTAAAACGCAGTTAAATTTTTTTTATCAGTTTACAATAAGTAAAGAAATGTCTAATCCTTTTGAAGAAACATCGAGGAAATCTTATATGCGGTGAAAACGTCGTGGATTCTGGCTACTATCCAGGTATGTTTAAGGCATGAGCATCCCATCGTGCCAGGAACGCGTTGAATAAATGTAA